GGAGTGCAGTACTGTTATACATGGCATAACCCTGCAAACACATACAAAACATTATGCTACGGGAAAGAAACTGGACACAAATGTCCACATTTTGCATGATTCCACATATACGAAATGCCCCAGAGAGGTAAATCTATAGAGATGTAGACTCGTGGTTGCCAAAAGCTGAGAGGAAGATGAAACAGCAAATGACCACTAATGGGTACAGAGTTTATTTTGGGGGTGATGAAACATTTGGGGGAGTTACAGAGTGGTGATAATTGTACCGTCTTGTGGATGTACGAGAAACCATTGAACTGTATTCCTTAAAAGGGTGTATTTATGGTATGTGATTTATATCTCATTTATTTTTAAAAAATGCCCTCTTTCCTTTTTCTAGACCCATTATTTTATCGCCCAACGTGCACAAGGCATTTATACCAACCTGAGAAATAGGCTAGTGTTTTGCCTTGGCCATTTAACCAACAGAATTTCCTCCTTTGTCTTGGTTTATCCTTTGTATCTTCCCCATACCTGCTCTGTCTTTCCTTCCTGATGACGTACAAAGGTGGTCTCTCATTGGCGCTAACACTTCCTCTCTTGCAGCCTGCTGTCTTACACGCACCTACACCTGCTCTAACAGCCCTCATCTCAAACATCGGTTCTTCTCTTAAGGAACAAAGTAGAAGAACTATAAAGCACAGAGAACTCTGTCAGATGTGTTATTCTTAGATGACCTTTGGGACTCAACCACTTAACAAAGGAAGTTGGAGTCTGTCTCTCTGGAAGCAGCCTCTAGTTAGTTACTTCTCCCAAGGACTCACGTCATGTGACCTCAAGTAACTGTCAAATGCGAGTCTTTTTTATTCTTATCAATATATCCCTCAGTTAAGAACTTCACTGCGTTAATACTTCACTAAAGTGATTTGCTTTGAAATAGACCAGGAGTCATTTTTAAAAGGGGATATGCTAATCAGGGTAATAAAAATGCTCTCACAGTGGATTAGAGTGATGGTTGTATAACTTGGTAAATTTACTAAAAATCACTGATTTGTACAGTTAAAATGAGTGCATTTTATGGTATATGATTATACATCAATAAAGTCTAAAAACAATAAATTGTGGGGAGTGGAAGGGGGAGATGTGGGTGGAAGTAGAGGCAGAGCAAGATGGGTGGAGGGTGACAGAAAAGGAGGCGGTGATGGGCGCGTGCAGTGGGTACCGCTGGGGCTGTCGGGCGCTCGCCTGGGGCCAGGGTTCTCCGAACCGGCTAAGGACTTCGCTGAAACTGCCTTGCAGCTCACCTCCTCCTTGCCCTGTCTGGCTTCCTTCACTCCAGGCAGATACGGATCCCAACAGCTCTTCCCAGAAAATAACCTGCTCCCAAAGCCCTCCTTCAGGACCTGTGTCCAGGGAACCAGACCTAAGACAGGCACTTCATATATTCTTCCTACATTTATAAGTGTTTAAAGTTTTTCATAGCAAGAAGTAAAAAAAAACTAAACCAAAAGAAAACCTAGAAGTTCCCCAAACTCAAGTACCACAAATTCTGGGAAAATGATCCAGGATGTTTCACAGACGCTGCTGCCAACGCTAAACCTGCCGTCTGATGAGCTCTAAGTTGGAAACCTGCCACCGCAGCGTCAGTGCCTCCCTTGCTCTTTCTCCCTCCCGGTCTGAAGGACCGTGAGACGCACTTATCCACCTGTTCACATGCATTTGTTGAACTCAGAGGGTCTCCTCTTCCCCTGCCTGTGACAATTTTAAGAGTGTGTGTTCTCTGCCAAACACAGAGAAAGGAAGACAAGGACATCGAGAGTAGTGAGACCCTCAGAAAGGCAATGAGATGCAGGAACGTCTTGAATTTTGAGTCCTTTTCCCTACATTTACTATAATTGCGCTCTCTGCTAGGAAGCCTATAGGCGGGAGGATAAGATTTCAGTGGTTAAATTATTTGAATACTGTCACATTTTAGACGGCATTCCACATATTCCATCTATAATAGCAAAGGATGATCTGGAAAATCCCCTTTCCTTAAAGAGTCTGGGAGCTACCGATAATCCAAAACTGCTTTGCTTAAAAAAACCCAAACACTATAAGGAACCTCTAATTTTCTTACCATTATTAACTCCCCTTGGCCCATTACATGAACGCCGGTCCTCTACTAAATGTCCTCAAAGAGATGTATATTATTGACTGTTATGTATGGTAGGTCCAAATAATGCCCAGCACTATGGACTGTGCTGTCCTATGCAAAAAACAAACAAACAAACAAAACAAAACAAAACAAAAACTCTCCTAAGGAGGCACTGCCTTCCAAATTCTTGCAATTCGTTCCAGAACTGCTACCTACTTGTGCCTTGTTCAGTGTTTTAGCTTCTCTAGTTGGCAGCCCACCTGTCTTCATTGGTCTGTCCTGTCTCCCTCCCTGGTTCCATCTTCTGCTTCTGATCTTGTCTCTCCCCCTTGATGTGGTCCCTCCATCAGTGGATCATTCATGTTCAACACACAGCACTCTCCTACTTGTGGAATTTCCCCTACAGGCTGGCCTCTGTGCACGCCTTCCCACAACCCCAAACCAGGGGTGCCAGGGAGCGCTGCCCGAGAAGAGAGGAGGGGACCAAGGGAGGGGCTGGATACAGAGAGAGAAACACACAGTGAGAAATCAGGAAAATTAAGCCCCAAATGACGCCACGAACTAGCAAACGGCACTGCTCTGTCACCATGCTACTGAATCACACTTTAACAAGTTAGGAAAACCAGTTGGCATAATAACGTATTTCAACTCTTAACCGTTGTCAGTCTTTACTTCTCAAAAACATCTGTGTAATGGCAACACGAGTTTTCTACTTTCTTACCCCCCAAAACCCTCAATCACCCAGGCTGAGAGTGCCTTTGTGGAAGTCCAGAGCTCCAGAGGAGATGTCCTAGCATGTCACCGGAGCAAAATAAAATCTGAGACTGGATCCACTGAGAAGGGCCAGAGGACTGGTTTCAATGTACCCGTGTCAGCCTCCCCCAGTCAGCACAGCTCAGAGCTGAGGGAGAACTTCTCAGCCTGTGCTTTCCCCCAGGAAGGGAGAGTGAGGGCGTGCGAGTGAGCGCCCGGCTTCCCCAGTCGTGCAGGACACTGTCAAAGAGACCCACGTCTCCCCCAGCCTGTCCACAAAGCAGTGGCGTGCTGTGTGACTGCAGGGCGGGGAGAGGCTAGAGGAATGACAGCCTGGGCTCCTGGAGGGCAAAGGGACACAGAGTCCACCAACAGCTTTGCTCACTCCATCAGGAAGCCCACCCATCAGCCACAGGGAAGACGACCTGTAAATCCATCAGCTCACCCCTGGGTACCACCAGCGCTCCATGCACCTGACACTCAGAGGAGGACAAAGAGTGAAGAAAGCCTATGTGAACGATGGACACCATTAAGAGAAATAATTTACACGTTATTGGAACCTACAAGGAGCAGAAAGCTTATTCAAAGAAATAATGGCAAAGAACTTCCCAAACCTGGGGGGGGAAATCTGAACATCCAAATTCATTAAGCTCGTAAGTTCTCCCCAAATTTCAACCCAAAATGGTACTCTTGAAGACACGTTATAATAAAACTGCCTAGAACCAAAGACAACGAGAATTTTAAAAGTAGCAAGAGGGGGAAAAAGTTCCTCTCCTGTAAGGGAACTTCCATAAAGCTATCAGGCGGCTCCTCAGCAGACACCCTGAGGGCCAGGAGACGGTGGGATGACACAGTCGCACGAAGTGCTGAAATGAGCTGCCAACCAAGAATGCTTTACAACAGCAAAGCTGTCCTTCAGAGATGAAGGCGAGAGAAAGACTTTTCCATCAGCCGCTAGACCTGCCTCACAAGAAGTGCTGAAAGGAGTGTTTCAAGCCTAACTGAAGGAGTGCTAATTAGTAACATGGAAACATAGGAACACACATAACACTCCAAAGGCAAGGAGGTAGTAAAAGGCTGTGCCAGAGAGGAGAAAGGGAGGGACAGGCGGAGGAGAGGGGAGTGACAGCACAGTCCTCCCCATCGGGGAGGGGGCTCGTGGGTTACTGGGAGCACCGGGGGCTGGCAGAAGCCCTGGCATTTGGCACCACGGTCACGGGGATCTCAGGGTGAAAAGAGGGCACATTTCAGGGCTGCAGGTCTGGCTGTCCTCCACGGCAGAGGCTTCCAGCCGGTGCCAAATCTGAACAAAGGGAATCCACAGCATTCACTGGCTCAGCGCTTCTTTAAAATTCCTCAACGTGCCTACAGTGGAATTTCAATCAAAGTCAGCTTAGCCTTCTTTTCCCTGCAACCTGAGCGTGCTGCCAGCCAGCTCTCAACCCTCCAGCGATGGGGTACGGGGCGGGGTGGGTATGAGGACTTCAGGGTTTATTGTTGGGTTTTTTTTTTAAATAGACTTTCTTTTAGAGTAGGTTTAGGTTCACAGCAAAACTGAGGGGATGGTATAGAGATTTCCCGTTTCCCCCGACCCTCACACATGCATGGCCTCCCTCGTTATCCACAGCCCCTGCCAGATGGTGCACTTGCTGCAACTGATGATGTTGATGCGCTGAAGATGCACTGACACGTCATCGTCGCCCAGAGTCCACAGCTGACGTTAGGGGTCATTCTTGGTGGTGTACATTCTATGGGCTTGGACAAATAGTGGCATGTCTCTACTATGACAGTGGCACAGAGTATTTTCACTGCCCTAAAAGTCATCTGTGCTTTGCCTGTTCACCCCACCCCCTTAACCCCAGGCCAGCGCCGATCCTCTGCCATCTCCATAGGTCCACCTTTTCCAGAATGCCACTGCAGTCAGACACGTGCAGCCTTCTCAGATGCTTCCCTTCATTTAATAATATGTACTGTGTCCTCCATGCCTTTTGAGGGCAAGTACCTTTCATCTCATCTCTTTCTCTCTCTCTCTCCACCTCTCTCTCTCCCTCCCTCTCTCTTTCTGTTTCTTTTAAGGAAAGACACTGTGCCGCCCCATAACTCTGTGGGGATTAGAACCTGCCAGGCTGACAGCTGCTCCCTGCTCCAAGGTCAGAGCAGAATATTCTAAGTAGGGTTTGGTGACCTGGGCCAAAGGCCGCAGACAGAGGGCTGGCCCCATGTTGAGTGAGAGTGTCCAACTCCTTCCAGGGAGACACGCCTCTGCCCGTGTCACTGTGCGGATGGCAGGGGTGAACATCCCGGGAGCTGGAGGTTGAATCCTTGTTCCCCGACTTCCAGCTCCCTGGAATCCTGAGTCTCTGAAGGCCTGAGTCTCTCAAGTCCTTCACCAGAGCGCCCCTCAGATCCATAATCTTCACATCAGGCATCCTCCTCTCGGATCGCCACCTTGCAGCTTCCCAGCCCACTCCCTCTAGTGCCCGACTCCAGGGATCCTTCAGGCCCCTCGGGCCTCCCAATCCGTCTTCTCCATCTGTCATCTTTTCACTGTCCCTGCTCACCTCCACGCTCTCTCTCGCTCCTTTAACCAGCTTCAGTTCCACAGCCAGTCATTACAACTGCCCCTTCCACACACCCTTGCTCCTCCCCTGTCTCCTCTACTCGTCAAAGCTACGACCCTGGTTGATCCAACTCTGCCTACTCTGCGCCTGACCCCGCACAGCTGAACACGGCAGGAGATGACACACGAGCACCCGAGGGCCCCACTTTAAACTCCTGACCATGCTGACCTGCGACACTGCCTGGCATCGTGTTCTCTTTCCTGACACGTTCTGACTCCATCAGGCAGACATCCACTTCCCACCTTCTCCTCTCCTCCAACCACTATTTCACTAGACTTTCAGCCAATGACCTGGTTGGTTTCCTCCTTCTCTTGAGAAAACTGAAACAATCAGAAGAGAATGTCCACAGACTCTCACCCTTTAAAGCATCCACACCAAGTCACTCTGTCCTTTCGTAGCTACCTACGCCTGATCCTTCCAAAGCAAATCCTTCAGCCTGGGCACCGATCTCATTCCCTGGTTCAAGGGCCCGGTCTGAACACCTCTGCTTACCTCCCTCCACAGTGTCGGCCTGTCCTCTCTGAGGATCACCCTCACTGAAATACAAGTACACTGAACTTTCCTCATTAAAACAAAACAAAACTCTTATCTTGATCTTGCTTCCCCTGCCAGCTACTGTCCTATTTCTCTTGTCTCCTTGGTAGCAAAGCAAAAATACACCCTCTACACTCAAATTTAAATCCTCTCTGCAGAATTCTCTCTGAACCCCTCACCTTCAATCAGGCCTGTGCCCTACCTAGCACATCACTGACAATCACCAACGTAGCGATTCTCCACTACTCAACGCAGCCATCAAGTCTCTGTCTTCAATTTCCTGGACCCACCAGTGGCAGGGGACACCGATGGCCTTGGCTTCCTCCCTGAAACACTTTCTTGACTCACTTTCCAATCTATTGCTCTGGGTTTTCTGCCCCACTCACCAGTCACTCGCCTTCAGTCTCCTTTTGTGACTCTTCCTCTGTCTCCAGCCCCTAGATGCTGGGAAGCACAGGCCTCGGTCTTCAGTCTCCTCTCTGTCTATCCTCACTACCTTGGGGACCTCATCCTGGGTCACAGATAAAACTGTCAATGGCTCTCTACAGCTCACACCTCTAGCCAAAATGTACTGAATTGCCTATTCGAACTCTCCAGTTGGGTATGTCTCAGACACTTCCAACTCAGTGTTCCAAGAAGAAACAGACCCAGAGACACAGAAAACAAAAGTAAGGCTACCAAAGGAGAAAGGGAGGGGAGGGATAAATTAGGAATTAGGGATTAACAGATTACACTACTATATACAAAGTAGACAAACAAGAACCTACTGTACAGCACAGGGAACTAAACTCAATATCTTATAACTTATAATGGAAAAGAATCTGAAAAAGAATAGATAGATACATGTATAACTGAATCACTTTGCTAAGTACCTGAAAATAACACAACATTATAAGTCAACTATACTTCAGTAAAATTAATCAATAAATAATTTTTAAAAAGAGAGAAAAAAAAAGATTTGTTGAATGAAAGACATACACAGAACTGCCCTGTCTCTTGTTCCAAAACTCCACTGTTCTGGAAACAATATTACGCCCAACCAGAATGACACGCGGGCACAAAGGATGGCAGCCGTCAGAGTACTGATGCCCTGAGTGAGGCTGGAAGGCTAACTTCAATGATTTTTCAGATTGCCCATGTGTTGGATTACCTTTAACTTTTTTTCTCCTTGTTATAGACTCTGTAGTTGTTATGGCTGCACATTCTAAGCAGTGAGACTGCGTGTCATCATCTCCAGCACTGTAA